ATAAACTTGCCTGGCCGAGGGGTGAGAATTTCTCTGTTGCCAATCGGGGGAGACGCTTGGTGCGCCTCCCAGTAAAGTTCATAGAGAAACGAAAGCGTATCAAGGCATGATCAGAGTCGACGCAGGTACTCCAGTACGAGCGGCAATCCACGATGGAATCACGCCAACTGTGACTCATGGCAATGTGATCAATGAGTCCATCATTGGCCAGCTAGAGGAAGACGCCAAGTGGCACTTCGGCGCCCAGTGTCTAAAAGCAGTGCTACTAAGAAACAACTGGTGCGCCGCACACAGTTGCAGCAGATGCTCACCGTTGTCAGTCCATTCGGAGTTAAATCCATAATTAACACTCAGCTGAGCTTCTGAAGAGCTCATACGCCTTACTTGTGCGTTCACATCCCCAAGAAGTAGTAGCACTGCGAAATAGCGCGTTCAGTTCGTGACAATGTCTGACAGCATTTGAACTGCAGTCAGAGGGACTTATTACTAACAAACTACGACCCGGTGATGCCAACGGTGGAATTACCATCACTATATACATTAGCTGCAGGGGAAAACACCTTAAGTATTATCACAATACAAAAGGAAAAACATGCAAGAGGCACTCCGATTGAGTCACCAGTAACGGATGGACATGGTTCCGGAGAGTGAACAACCGGCTATTGGGCTGCAAAAAGTTAGATTATGCCTAACGAATGAGCTTGTGGTTGGAGAGGGTGGGATAAAAAGACTCAACACGAACGCCATTGAGGTCGGCTACTAGCCATGTTAACAAGTGTATCCAGCCAAGGTGTTCATCGTCCTTCAAACTCCAACCAGGGAGCCAAGAGACTCCAATCAAAGCCAAGCTTAGAATAAGGGTCTTCATTCCTCTTGACCAAGTTAACGCTTGGCCACTCCTCTTTTATCCGCATCCCCGACGCGTAAATAACACACGTCGCGGGAGACGGTAGGCTAGAATGCGCAACACGTGGCCGAACCGTCGGAGCCTGGTGCGTGGAATAACGTTGCTGAGCGGTTCGCTTCCAGTTCCTGCGCCATTCACAAGGCGTCGAACATGCTCATTGCTCACACAGTGTTCCCGCCAGATATGAGGAAAATTGGGTAACTAATTAACCTCTAAGATTTGATCGGAGCAGTTCTCTCCAGCCGATCCCTAGATGATTCCGAGAAAGACGTCATTCACGCATCATGCAAACTGATGTCTGCTGAAAAGAACTAAGGTCACATTGATGAGACTCTAGCCATCGTCTTTACTGTACAAAATTCCACAAGATGCCGATGGTCGGTTTTTCCCCTTACTGAGCACAAGCAGTTGCTTTCAATCTTTGGTTTTAAGATGGGCATTCCGGCAGATTCAGCCAGTCAACTCCAATGATAGTCCGTCATTCTAATTGGTTACGATTTCGAAATCCGCCTCTGCCGCACTCAGAATCTTGATCAAGCTGACGCTCTCTCCAGCCTCATCAACAGACACGCTGCAGGTCAATGCGCAACAAAACCTTTACGCCTAAACTTAAAGGGGATGTTGCACAGAGCACTTGTTCCCAAAAAGGTCGCGGAAATCATGATGCAGACATCGTACTCTTCTGAGGTTACAATGCAATGATCATCTGTACACGTCAGTCGATGGTGACACCTCAACTAATGTGCTGCGATATAAAAAAGGTAGGGATTAAACATCAGACTACAAAAGCTAAAAAGTAACATAACGCTAAATATCATGTTATGCATTGGGAGTGAGATCGTTGTCGGAGGGGGAAATTAAAGTGTGAAGACTAGGAAACACACAACACAAGCGCCATTGAAGTCGGCTCCTCCCCATGTCACCCAGCGTATCCAAGCAGTGTTCGGCCTCCGGACCGAACTCCAACAGTCGGGAGAGACCAACGGAAGTCGGACCCACCCACACTTCAATTGCTCCGGCACCCGCAGCATTGCGTTTGAATTCGCTTGTCACATGAATGCCTACAATTACTGGGACCCTTATCCTTGCATCCGCAGTCGTCGCTAGTCCCGGTAGAAAGCTGAGGCTATGTAATCCCCTTTCCATTGGGTCATTAAGTGCTTTGCTGAAGGCGTCTTCGCTCTTCTCGGGGTTGGATGCGCGAGTGGCAAGTGGTATATAGCACGAGTATCGACTAGTGCGTTCCGTTTCGTTCGAGGTACGAGGTTTTTCGGGTCCGTATCGTTCCAACCAACTAGGACAATCGCAGCGACTAGGCCATTATATTACGGATAAAACAATGTATACGCGTGAGGGGTAATCTTTCGCTTGGGGAAGCTGTTCGTAGTAGCATTCCACAGGGATGGGTATTATTGTCGTTTCCGTTCACAATCCACATAAATGGTTTGTCTGAGGTACCGTGGCTACGGTTTGCTAAAGAGCTTAAGCTCTGGAATACTGTGAACGCTTCTGGGAGTTCTGAAAAAATTCAGAGCGTATTGGATAGGCTTTGGGGATGGTCTAGCTGACAAGTTGTTGCCCATAAAGCGGAGCATATAGTCCTACCCAGCATGCTGTGGGAAGAAGCAAAACCCCTGTTGTCGTTCAGTGGTTTTTGGTGTCGTCACACGCGCTAGCTCTTTACTGTGGCGACAATTGGAAGTAGGCCGTTTGTAGAGGGTTCCGCATGATGTTCATTCGCTGCATCTTCGGAGTCGTACAGCCAGTATGTTGGTGAAGTTGTTCTTAATTTATGTGCGTTCCAACTTGGAATACTGCGTTTAAACTTGCCCACCCTATGGTAGGGGACGAAATTGAACTGGGGGGCTTTGCGACGGAGTACTAGGTTGGTGCAGTCTGGGAAGCTTAGTTTGGGTAGGTACTCAATGTACTGTCGGAGAATTAAGATAGTCGGTCGGTGGCCGAGTGGTCCGCACGCCTGGTTTACAACCATAAAGTCACTGGTTCGAATCCGCGTTGAGGTGGGCGTCCTCGCGGTATACGCAGCACACGCCCGACTGGCGATGGTCACGTGGCAGCAAAATGCGGTTATGGTGTACAGCTGGCGAGTTATGTTAGAATTAGAAGGGACTTGATTCTCACTTGGCGTATTTTGACGGGATCAGTTCAAACTTAGTCATTTATTTCTACTTAGTTGCCGGGTCTCCGTGGTCACCTATTGAGGCCGTACAAACCACGTTCAGACCGAGTTAGGAAAGAACCGCATTGTCGCACCGAACTATCGAAGGCTGGAACTCGCTTAAAGAGCACGTAGTTTGGAATTCCATAGTTGAGGATTTTCAGCGTCGGTTGGTTTTTGGTGGAAACACAAAACCTGACAATGTCTTCAGATTTCCTTTGTCCTTTTCAATCACTCATATATCGATGTTATCTGCTCTATTGATGTGCCCCTACCTTTTGAGTTTACCATTCGCCCCTTAATTCACGTAACCGACCCGACAGGGGCTGCTAGGACAAGATATGTGGACAGTAAAAGATTGAAGTGTGACGCGGTCTTCGTTTTAGGTTCAATTAAAATTGCAAATCCGATACACAGGAGTATCCTAATGCTCAGACTGGCTGCACCGAAGCATGACTGTTCCGAATAGCTCATTGGATACTAGGATAACGCACATCAGAGAAAAGCATGTGAAGAGGTGATGCGACGAACGGTGCATCCGAGTTGCTTCCAACTAAAAAAGTGGAAGGGAATTTTAGGTGGACTTGGCTGATCGCCGAAGTGACTAGGGAGTGCAACTAGTCTGTTCTGGGACTCTAAGTAGATTGAATTAGCAGCCAAATATCGAAGTGAAAATCCTGATACGGAAATACTCGGCGATGGGAGGGCCGGGTTTACACGAAGAGTCAGTTCTTCTATGGCGCTTTTCCACTTATCATCCTAGCTTAATTCGCTTGCGTTCATCCTACTTGCTTGCCACTGTTTGTTACCAGTGCAGACCTTACAAAATTAAGTTCAGATAAGAAATGGAAAACTTGGTACCCCGACATTATGCATTTTCAGATTTCATAAAAAGCGAATGTGGCACTGAGCCGTGGCTTCAGCTGATTAGTGGGGGATACAACTGCTCTGATGTCACTAAACAAGTGCTAACACGAGAATGGTGAGGTGGTTAAAATGGGCAAACAAACTATCCAGGCAGAGTAGCTTCGTAAAAATGGATGAAAGTATGTCAGAACCCCAGCAATTTCACGACGGTAGCAAGTAATTGACCACTGATGAAATCAATCATGAGTCCCAGATAAGGGAAGTCAACAATCGTCAACTCTTCAAGTTTCATCGAACTTCAGTTTTTACTGTGCAATAGAACAACCACCCTAACTAGGCGAAATGCTTATGAACTATACACGTCAAAGTAGTCAGGCATACCATGGAAATAATTAGCGTGGTTCGAGTTAAAGAGACTAGCTTCAAATGAGCAATACTCTGCAACTAATGTCTGTAAAAAACGGTCGCACACTTCAAGTTTTCGCAGATTAGTGCATTACCTTAACCATGCATTGACAGTCGTTGTGGACGCCGCTCTTACTGTCGCAAGTCACGTCCAGCAACCTCTGCAGAGACGAGGCCAATAAAACCAAATGCGCCATCGAAGATAAGATCAAGGTATCATATTAGAACAAACCAGCCCCGAAGCAATATAAGGCTGGTGTTAAAACCGCGATAGGGTATCCGTTTGCTCATAATTTTTGTAATACAGAAGTCAAGTAGAATAACATGGTTTTAAGAATACAGGAAGCGATGGTATGGTGGCGGTATAAAGTTAGATACGTTCATGCAAACTTAAGACTAGAGCAGCACGTTCTACAAGAAACGCGTCTCTATACTAGAGGAGATAGGTGACAACTTAGGAAGGCACCAGCTACACTGAAGTCGCGAAGGATCAGGAGACCACAATCTGTGCGGGAAGAGACCTGAGTACTGAAGGTGAACAGATACGATGGTTTCAACTAGCCTCTAGGAGAAAACAGCATCACAATCAGCAGAAACCCAAACAAAGCAATAGACAAGTAATTACTACAATGAAGGTCTCACCTTTGTTGCGAATGATAGCGCGCGGGTGCAAGCCGTAGTTGTTAGATCCCACATCAGATGATGCTGAGAGCACAGTAGGGTCGAGTGCTTTCATGAACGAACCTGCAACTGCATGATAAACCACAGAAACTTACTATTCGAGACGCAACCGGGGACAGGCAGCGTTTTTTTGTTCAAGAGGTTGCACAAAACATCTGATTCGCTCAAAGGGTCGTGAGATGCTTGCGAGTTGGGGATGCGCGATAAACCCAATGCGGGTGAATGCCTTGACGGAAAACAAAAAAGACCGTAAGTCTCACGCGTGACCGATCCGATAATACGCAAGCGAAGAGGCGCTGCCCAGTCCGGAGCGTGATAGCCATTGAGACGTAATACAGATTGCTCAGCGCTAAAATGTTAGAGAATAAAAGATGGTCTACCTGGATTTCTCCTCAAAAATCACTGAAGCGGTGGTGGTAAGACGAGTGCAATCTACGGACTCTTGATTCAATTCGCCTGTGATGCCATTCATCACCGGTGAGTTTAACCTAGGTTTGTGACTAGGAGGCGACTCAGATAGTTGCGGTGCAAGTAATCGAATGAGCACAACATTCCCAAAATTGGTAAACAGGCGCTAAAAATGCAATTGATGAAAAATAACATACCAAAAGATCTGGTTCGGTCCACTCAAGAGGTATTCCCACGACGAATACTTCCCATCCTATTATGTTTTCGTTTGTTACATCTGAACCCAGACAGCCTGACATGTTGCCAATGTTTAAGGCCGGTAAGCGATGATTAGGAGTGAATCGACGACCGCCTGAGCTGGCGTAAGCGACACGCAGGCGCTTTTGTTCCGTCTCGTACCCATGATAAGTCTGAATAGCTAAGGCAGCATGCTGGGGGTTGACGAAGTCGACAAATCCATAACACAAACTAGCCCCAGTGTTCTGCGCAAAATGAAAACGCACGAAAAAAAATGCTTACCTTGTCTCTTATAAGCTTGCACTGTCTAATAGGACCAACTCTTTCAAATAAGCGTTGAAGATCGTTCTGATCATAGCTTTGGGGCAAGTAGTTAATGATCAAATTAGTACGCGATCTGTCCTCATTAAAAAAGGAACTGTCCGCGGGGCTTGTAGGTCCCAACTGGGATGAAAGATTGAGGCCGAGATACTTGATTCGGGATGCGATGTCGACACCTCCGAGGCCGTTCACTCCAATTAGTGGTCCGTTGATGGATCCGTTAACAGTAAGATCTTGAAGAGGTATCGAGGGAAATACATCGGCAAGGCTGCTACTAACGCAGCCATTTGTATGCAACATAGCAAAAGACAGAAGGAAGAAACAAGGCGCAGTAAGACGAAGCACGCGGCCTCACGCGGGGGAAAATACGAAACCAAGAACCGCGCCTTAGAAATTCCACCAGACTGATGAAACAATGGCCAAACAAGGTTATTCAGTTCCTAACGTCTTTCGAATAGTTTGTACTTTGCTTTTAAATTATTTTATGTATTTTGTTAGTGTTTTGGGAACAGCTGTGTAATGTGACTGTTGATTGTGGATGTACTCAGTACAAAGTGTGGCGCTTAAATTACAAGTTGGATGGGTACGATATGATTATCGTGTAAGTTTTCCCTTTAGAAGCGGATAGTTGAAGTAAGAGTTGACGGACTTCGAAATCTGGAGACCTCATTTTCTCCAGGCGCATACAAATATTTGAACTTGGAAGTGAACTGCGGCAATTTTCCAACTGAACTTAGAAGGCGCTACACGAGGTCACAATTGAAAACTTTTTAAACCGAGGTGGCTCCGATTCCGCTTTGCCTTCGCCCTTTCTATTTGGGCGGAAAACGACTGGAACAGCCTCACAGAAACAGTGGTCTGCGGACTGGCTGTGGAAAGTTTAAAGCGGCAAGATGCCTGGACAGCATTGTTCCTCTGCGACTCCCCTGTAGACAGTTGGGTCGCTTATGCACACTTGCTTCGCGTGCTGATTTTTAGGTGACTGGGCTAACATGGGACTTCCCTAATGCTCCCTAAAAAGCAATGAGCTCAATGAACATCACGTACTGTCTAACCAATTATTCCCCCGTATACTGCCCTAACAGTCTTAACCGGACAGGTTAAATGTAGTATGAAAGTGACTACAGTAAACACAGAGGACATTAAAGGAAGGCTAAGAGAGCTAAATAAGTGGAATTTTTAGATAATGGGTTATACAAAAAGGAAGACTGAAGAGGAGTCAGTTAGGAAACAGGAACGTTTTGGTGTTGCCATCCAAGAGCGTCAGGCTGACGAACAATGCCCTTACCCCTAGATTCCTAACAACATGAGCTGGACGTGAATTCCAGCGCTCTATCACTCGTTGCGACGGACGAGTTACCGTCCTTTTCCCATCAGTAGTTGGGAATTATTCCACTTCGCGAACTTCGGAGTGCGCGCGGTAGACCAGAGGACGAAACGCCTTAATACTTAAAATTGTTCCACCACTGATTTCTGCTTAACGCCAAGGGGTATGAGCAGTTTTGTGCCTTAAAGGTCCACCAAACATCTCATGAAACCACATAATCCAGATAATGCGGAACAGTAATTGTTACTTTCTCCTGACCCCTCATGGTTAATGAAAGGCACCTAAACATCGTGGTGGTTTGCTAATTTCTCACCGGCAAGAAATGAATAAAAACTGGCAAGCAACTAAATCAGGTAGGCAATGTTGCGCTCACATATGCCTTGATGTTCCATGCTTACCTAGAATAAGTTAAAGAAGGAGGTTGCGATGCAAAGAACGTTTCTTTTAGAGGTCCAAACGTATAAGATTTTAAATTTTAAATTTTAATGTCATCCTTGCGCAGGGAATATCGCAGGCTTTTCAGCAGCGTTCCAATTTTATGTATGTACCGACTGAGCGAGTACAAAGCGCGACACATTCATATACATACCCGACTGCACGGTTGACAGTCAGTTACGCAGACCACTAGATTTCATTCGGAAAAACCTTGCCCCTCCTAAAGCATCCTTAATGCAACCATCACAAAAATTAAAGCGTTCCTCACACTATTTAATTTTCGATGGTTTGCCGAGGCTGTTTAACACCATGGCAGGATTAATTCTTTACGTTCGGATACTTTCTTCGCTACAGGTGGTAGAGTACTTATCCACTACCTAATCCGGTCAGACCGTAATTTATGCAGCTTCATTGGATGACGGCGAAGATTAGGTACGTTAGCAGGACTCAGTAACCAAGACAAGTCCGGACCGATCATACACGTCAAAATACAGTATGTGCGAATCATGTCCCTCCTTATCCTTCGGTACTGCATTGGGTACATTCCTGAACTATGCAAGCGTTTAGGATAAGTCTGTTTCAGTAGACCCCGCACTAAATTACTACCCACGCGAAACTTGTAGAGATTCAAGGGGACTTGACTCATACATACAGAAACACTAATTAATGGATTAGTTAGCTTTAGGCTGAACCAGCTTATGGCAATGAGCTATCTAGACCTCATAGTAACTTAACAACGTTGTCCCTATCGCTCTGTAACGTATTGGCTTTGGAAAACGGATGGTCTTTTTCGGTTACCGAACACTAGTAATCGTTTTACCGGGCACTTTGCTGGCATTTGCCAGTAAGCCTTTTGTCTAGCAGACATGTATTATGGAGTGCCGACCCAGTTCGTGGCCAATATCGGTTGCGCTTTCGTGCAGCGACTGAGTCCTTAGTGCTCGCAGTTGCTGTGAGACAAATTGCATACAGTAACAATTCACATAAAAGGGTTGGAGGGTAGTAGTATTTCACACCGTTTCGCAATGACGTTTAAATAATTAACTAACTAAATACACATTTTATTCTCGACAAGTTGATGTACCCCTTTTGAGCATCATCTGCATATTGCAATATTGCGCAGGTTTGCATGATTAGCAACCCAAGAGCGGTAGTAATACAGATGGAGTCAGTAATGTGGGCCCGTATGGCCCAAAGGATGTGCGAAGTCTATGTCCACGGAATACGAGATGTAGAGATAAGAATCAGACCAATAGTGTGGAGTATGTTGATGAGGAATTAGTCCGATGAGTTTGTGTACGCAGTGCGAGTCAGGTGAGCGAAGCATGAGGAAAAAGCCGCAAAAATATTTAAGAATTGTGGCAGGTAACTGATCAAATATGTAGGCGTGTACGCACGGGAGCAGATGTATACACAGAATTTGTAATTGTGGTATCGGTCAACTTGCTAATGTGTGGTTGGGGCAATGGCTTTATTGAGTGGCGAGTCACATCCGCCACTTCGCAGTGTTGGTAAACAGACACTTGTGGCTCTTTTAGGGAAAACGCTTGCCAGACGAAGACACACGACGTCCTGGAACACTGCCGACAACTATGTGCTTTTAACCTTCCTTGACAGATTCCACATTATATGAACTACGAATGATGCATACGAGCCGCAACAATGAAACGTTTCAGCTTTACTGCATTGCCGTGACCTTGGCTCACCTGCCTAGTTTGTTTCCCTCAGTCAGACTTCCGCGGTATACGCCCCGTAGTCTAAACATGATGTTTCCATTAACTTTAGAGCATGCTAGACTTGCCCACCACTTACTGCTGGCTCCTTTCTTACCTTTACTACATGTCCTTATCCAAATGCGCCGACTAATTAAGTCCTACCCGATCGGCCTCCTGCTCTCCGGATTTATTCAGACTTCTGAGACGTCATCGCTCTTAGTTCGGCTGACCAAAATACCCGATTACGTTACCTGGAGAGCCTCGTGGGCTTCTCCCACCCTTCGCCAATAAACCTTTCTCGTCCTGTGGCTAACTTATATGTTATCGCGCTCTGTTTTCAATTCTTCTTCAACTGGCCCTGTTGTGATCTAGTCCACCGATCAATTTTCTTCTCTCTGACTGCTCCTATGCTACTCTGACTTACGTGGTATGCGCTATACTGACTCAACGCTTTTGTTCCCCTACCTCGTGAGGCTGCTAGACTCGTTCACCTTTTGTTACAGCCACTTTTCCTGCGTTTATTTTACATGCTATTTCTACACAATAACTCAGTCTCGCCAGACTGGCCACTAGTTTTCAGATTTCACTCAGAGTTCTTCGACGTTACAAATCGTAGAGACTGCTAGACTAGTTCCCTCTTTAGTGTTTTAGCACTATTTTACCTTTTTTATAAGCCTAGCCCCAAAGCGCTGATAAGGCCAATCCCGCTTAGTCGGCCCCATACTCAATGAATACATTTGGACTTCTGAGACGTCACTTCTGTTAGTTCGGCTGACCTATTGGTTCTGTAAACACTACGTGGAGAGGCTTGTGGACCTTTCCACGCTTTACCAATGATCCCTTCTCATCTAGACCTCAACCTTTTCCATCGCTTTCTGTTTTCATTCCTTTTTAACTCGGACGGCCGGCTTTACTGCCCTGCCGTTATCTTGTCGCACCTGACCCGTTTGTCTCTTTCTGTCTGCTTTTATTTTCCTATTATCCATGGCCTTTTCTCTTATTGCGCTCCACTTTTATTCCCACGGCTTACACTCATTGCGACTATCCAAGTTATCCTCGTGCGAATGGGCTCCTTCGCTCAGAGCTCGCTCCTGATTTTTGGCGGCACTCGGACCATTGCTAGGTATTTCTTGTCTGTTACTTCCATTAGTATGCGCAACTTACCACTCTTCTTATTCCTATGCTCTTTACCTTACGCTTGCATTTGTCTATTATTGAGACCAAACGTGTCATAACGACCATCAGTGCACGGCAGCTTTGGCCCCCTGTGACCATTTTCCTAGCTTCTGACGGCTTTTGGGCTGTGGAAGCATGAGCGCTTTAGCGTAATTACGCTTACGAACTACTCTTCTCACTGCCGTCAGCATGCATTCGCTCCCAGCCAATTCCCTGAAATTGCGTTTCCTCTTGGTACGTTGCTCTACCTAGCTTGCTCCCGCATTCGGTCTCAACCTAGTTGGCCCTAGTTTTACCTAAGAAGCCTCTCGCATTCGGACTTCTGCCATCATCATCGGTTTACCTGTTTCTTTCCAACCATCGCATCATTCGCCTAACTTTTGTTAAAACGCTTTGGTATATCGGTCTTTTGACCCTGCGCGTGCAGAACCTTCTTCCCACTTAGTAGCTGTAGTCTGGGTCACACCAGTGACGGAATATATAGAACGCGCTTTCAAATCATGTATACTAAACAGAATTACATAAGTTTTAATGTATCATAGGCACCGTTGCGCGCCACCAGTCTGTGTTAGTGCTTCTTGATTTATTGCTGTCTCTCTGTTTGGCTGCCTCTTGTCCGTTGCTCGTTTCTCCCGAGATTTGCAAAGTTACATCCGCCAAAATAAGAATGGTTATCTACTGGGACTGGCCGACCCGTCCTCAATAGTCAGCTGTTTTAAACGCTTAATCCT